TTCTAAAGAGTGGAAAATGGCAAGCCCAGCCTTTGGGTTCCTCTCCAGAAGTAACCACTATAAACAGTTTCTTGTGGGTATAAGTGAGGCGCCGGGGACACTGAAGGACCACACTGTCCCAGCTTGACCGTCAGCCCACTGTTTGTGTCATCAAGTGCTCAGGCCCCTTAGCTTTGGTCTTGCCAAGTGGGAAATGCCAGGAAGAGCAAAGGGAAGGGAAAGGAAGCCAACGTGCTTGGAGAGGGGGAGCTGAGAGTGGAAAGCTGGGGATGAGGTGGAGAGAGGGGCTTTGGGAAAGGAGCGGGGTATTTAAACGGAGTTTCCAGAAACCTCCACGAGCCCTGTACCCTGTAACGCCTTTTCTCCGTCTCTAGAGAAAACCACCAGTAAAATCTGTTATTGAGACTTCCATTTCTGGCAATACAGTGGACCAGATTACACATATTCTTTATTTGTATATTTCATGATAAAGAAAATCAGAAGCAAAATCCACACCCTTGGTAATACTTCAGGATTGGGTTTGTTGGGGGGAGATGCTCAGGCTATGCTGAGCCTGGCCTCAGTTCAAGAGCAGGGTGGCTGTAGGGTCAGTTCCCATTGGGCAACAGGTCTGTGCAATTTTCTCCCTTCCTTCCTCTTTCTCTCTGGCCATTTCCTTCCTTCCTTTCTCCCTATGTATGTATGTATGTATCTATCAATCTATCATCTACTCACTTTTCCTGCATGAAATGGATTATATTATTCTACAACCTAATTTTTTAATTCAGCACTATCTCTTGGACAGCTATGTTGGCCATTGATCATCTATCGCATCTTATCCAAGGGCTGTCAGTGTTAGGAGAAAGATTCTTGAAGGTTAGAGAGATCTCATGTCCACATGTGGCTTCTGCTGCTGGAAGGACCTTCTGTCCACCCATTCCATTTTTTCAGATGCGTTTATTGGACTCTTGCAGTAGCCAACCCGCCAGCGCCCCCATCTCTCTGGGCTCACAGGCAAAGGCCCATTCACATCCTCACCCTCTCTCCTGTCTCACTCAGCTTCCTGTTCTTCAATTAAGCCCCCACCTCATCGCCTGAGCACTTGTTCTTCGCTGGGCTTGGGGCATCTCTCCCCCAATATCAGCGGCACCCCACTCATCTTCTTGGGGTCTTTTCCCCATGTCACGTTCGCACTGAGGTCCTCCCTCTCCATGCCAACACCCTCCATTCTCCTCCCCTGCTTTATTTCCCCCCACGCTTACACCAGCTGACATGTCGTGTCTTTTGCTTATTTGTTTACTGTCTCCCTCTCTTCCTCCCACTAGAATGTCAGCTCCATGAGTGCATTTTCAATCTCTATTATTTTAATCTCTATTATGTGCTGCTTCTTAATCCCTATTATTCCCAGAACAAGGCCTGGCCGATCAGGGATGCTCACTAAATATTGGTTGAATTGAATCGAATATGGAAGTTGATTTTCTGTGGGTGTGCTGCATCCTTGCTTGTTGAAGAGGGAGAAGGACTTCCTTTAACCCAACTCTGAAGACCCTTCATGAGTTTGCCTTCCACTGCTCTAGTCTCTTTGCTGGCCCTTTTGCTGCCTAGCACCCTTTGTCCCCCAGATGCTATGGTGCACCCCTGGTGACATCCAGGTCCCCCAAAGGCCATGTCCCGTCATGAGTCTCTGCCCAGAGAACCCTAACCCTGGATGACTTCTATTGGACGTCCGGACTCAGTTGTAAGTGCTCGCTCCTGCAGGTGGCACTTTCTCACCTTGGCCAGGTGACATGACCCTTGGGCTCCCCCAGTCCCCTGGGCTACCCTCTCTCTGGTTCCTATCTGTCATCCCTCTCCTGGAGGCCTGCTTCTTCCTCTGCCTCCCTGTGGGCTCCTGACCCAAGCACCTGGCACACAGCAGGGCTCACACGTGGGTACAGGGCAACAGAGTGTAAGGCAGAGTGGTAATTACAGGGGATGGGGGGTCAGGGGAGACTCACCTATAGTACCATCTGGTCGAGGGCTGCTCTAGCCCTGACCCAGTCATGAAAGAAATTCTCCATTCATGAAAGAATTGAGAAACAGATGAGCAATTAAATGCCTGAGTCCAGAGTAATGATGATTAAGGAATTCTGGGAAAGGGCATTATTACGCAGCTCTGAAAGCATCTGAAAGCTCTTAGAGTTCAGGAGAGTGGTTTGGGCAGGCGGCGCCTGGCGGTTATCAGAAGAAGCCAGGCCCCTCATTTCTGCCCCGTTAGGTCACTGTGAGCCGAGAGCAGGGCTGTGTGTCATTGTTTGCATCTCACCTTAGCTCACCCACTTTTGAAAGGTAATGATGGGCAGATCTGGGGAACGGGGTCTCTGTAGGTAGGTTTTTGTTTTGTTTTGTTTTGTTTTTTTGGCCACACTGAGCAGGTATGTGGGATCTTAGTTCTCCGACCAGGGATTGAACTGGTACCCCCTGCATTGAAAGCACAGAGTCTTAACCACTGGACCTCCAGGGAAGTCCCATGGGTAGGTTTTTAAAGTGGGAGAATGTCATCTGTAAAATGGGATAACAATTATGAGACAAGATTTGTCTCATGAACCAGTTAAGGAGATTAAATGAGATCCTGCTGGCGCAGTGCATGGTCCAGGGCTTGGCTTATAGTAAACCCTCAATAAACGTAGAAGGGAATTGTTCGTGCATATTTTTCCTCCAGGATGTCAACTCCCTGAAGCAGGGATACGATGTCTGTCTCTGCAGTGTCCCCGGAGCCTGAAACAGCACCTGGCACACAGTTGGCACTCAATACACATTTGTCGAGGGCACGAGTGAACGGATTACCTAACCGTCTTCCAGTAACAAACCCAGCTCTGGGGCCCAGTGCTTGGTTCCCACCGCTCCATGCTGCAATCGGCCCATTTCCCCGCCGGCCCAGTGCAGCTCTGACAGGCAGTGACTGCACAGGGCAGATGACTCGCAGGGTAGTTCTCTAAATGCTCCCCCGGGCCCGAGGAATCCCCAGGGTCTGGCTCATAAGGACAAGCCGATGACTGGGAACCAGCGTGGTCCCCCTTCCCGTTAGCTGAGCACCCATCACAGGCTGGATCCAGAGGCTCTCCCTGTAAAGCAGGAAGTGTCTCATACCACAGCCCCTCTCCGAAGCTCACTTCCTTCCCTCCTCTGACCCTGAACCTGCCTTTATCCTGGGAGGCCATTGGGCTCTCTGTAGGAGTCTTAGCTAACCTCTGAAGATCAAGTTCACAGACCATCTGTCGATACTAATGGCCAACTTTTATGGAGCACTTACTGCGTGCCAGGTCTTGCACTAAATGAAAAGATTTTATTTCATTTCCTCTAAAGTGGCACCCAACTGTTCTCCAAACATTCTGTCCTTTGCTGCAGCTGGGCCATTGCACAGGCTGTTCCTCAGTTTAAAATGCTCTTCCTGACTTTATCTACCTGGGGAATACTCACTCTTCAGCACCCACCACTCTTCTGTCACCTCCTCCCGGAAGCTTTCCCAGCTTGCCTGAGACAATAAAATCACAACCTCCCATGGGTCCCCACAGTTGTCATTTGGGTGTGTGTGTCTGTCTCCCCCTGAGCTGTGGCCCCTCCAATGCTCCAGGCTGCCACTTTTACCTCCTTATCCTGTATGTCCACCTCCACGCCTGGCACAAAGGGCACCGGAAATGTTGGTTTCTCCCTTCTCAGTTCCTTGGCATTCCATCTCCATCTTTTGTGTGTCCCTCATCCCTTTGTCTTTATTCCAAGCACAATGCTCATTACATGATAGATATTTATAAGTGTAAGCTGAATGACATAAATAAATCAGTGATCTTTCTTGCCGGGTACCAGATAGGAAGCGTTCAATTATTTTCCTGTAGACTCTATGGTTACCTCCAGCAAGAAATCATCAGAATAGGTAGGGAAAGAGGAAGTCAGAAGAAGGGAGAGAACAGGAGAAGGTGCTGGAACTAACATTTTCTGAGCACCTAAATGTGCCAGGCATGTGTTTCATTAACTCCCCACCATAATCCAGTGAAGTGAATATTACAATCGCCTTTTCATAGACAAAAAATGAGGGCACAGAGAGGTAAAGTGACCTACCTAAGATCACACAGCCAGCAAGTGGCAGAGCTGGGGTTTGAGCCCCATCTGTCTAGTTCCACCAGCTGGATGGAGACGGCTGGGGTGTCCCTGTAGTATAAGAGGGTGGAGGAAAGTGAGCAGGGGCTGCAGGACACTGGAGAGAAGGAATGGGATATGTCTGTCTTGTGGATCAGACCCAGACCCCTGGATATGTATCGTCCCTGCCTTGGTTTCTTGGAACAAATGTTTGCTGGCCCGTGGACCCACCCCAGACTCCTCCAATACATTTGACCACATTCTCTTGAGACAGCTCTTCTTTATCTTTTGTTTTTTAATTGAAGAATAGTTGATTTACAATGTTGTGTTGATTTCTGCTGTACAGCAAAGTGACCCAGTTGTACCTATATATATACATTATTTTTTATATTCTTTTCCATTATGGTTTATCCCAGGACATTGACCACTCTGCCTTCCCTGTGCTATACAGCAGGACCTTGTTGTCCGTCCATTCTATATGTAATAGTTTGCATCTGCTAACCCCAGATTCCCAGTCCACCCCCCCCACCCCCGCCCACCCCTTGTCTTGGCAACCACAAGTCTGTTCTCCATGTCTGTGAGTTGAGACAGCTCCTCTTTACAAATAGCTTCTTTCTTTTTTCTAACATCGATCCTGTCCTAAACACTTTCCTCTCGGTCCCTGGACCAGAGTTTGGGTAACCCTGACCCCACAGGATTGTGCAACACCCACCGAGGGCTCCAGGAACCCACAACTTCTCAATAATGCTGAACTGGGTGAAATTTCCCAGTAACCTCCTCCCCCGCCTGACTAACGCTTTCTTAGCTTGGCAATGCAATGTCTTATATTTAAGGAAGCCAGTCATTTGGTTTAGATTCTTTAGTTGTTTTATTTTAATGACCTTCTGAATCATTCATTTTTCTACTTTTGAACTGATTCACTCTTGGCCACTTCCTTGTACAGAAATCCAACCCCTCCTTTAAGACCCAGCACCAACTACCCCATTCTCCTGAAAACCCTCATGCATACCATCCCCCTCCAGGAAGAGGTATTCCCCTCCCCCCTTTTTCTGTACCGTTCATCCGGCATTTATTATATTGTCATCATCCTTATCATAACAATAAAAATGATATGCCGGCTGTTTGAGTTGTTTCTTATTCTCATGATGACCCTAGCAAGAAAGTAATTATTGTTTCCATTTAAACGTAGTGAAACTGAGCCTCAGGGAGCTTATTAAGCCTCCTGCTCAAGGTCACATGAAGGAAGTAGCCAAGATGCTAAGCCAGCCCAGCCCAACTGCAGAGGGAGTGTCTTGAAATGTAGCTATTTGTGTGGGGGGTGCCTGGCTCTTACTGTGATGTCTGTTGCCGCACCCCCTAGACTGTAAGCTCCATGAAGCGTTTGTTCCCCATTGCATTGTACGCAATAAATACCTGATTTTCCATAGATGTTGACCAATGGCGGGGAGGCTTCCTGTCCCTTCTATAGAATTAGCTGCTCCAAGCTTTACACGATTTTTGCATTCTTACAACATCAAGAGCCTGGTAGCAAAAACAATCAATACACATTGGCTGACGGAAGTAAGAGAAAGGCATGGGCTTGGAAGATTCCAGTGGACATATTTTCTAGCTGGAAATCTTCAATAGGAAATAAAAAAAAATTCTCTCTGTAGCTCAGGACCAATGCTGCCAGACAAGACCTCCTCACCACTTTTTTCAGGTTGAACTAACAACATCTTACAGACTAAGTGGTCAGTTTAAGCTCACTCAACCCACCTTTAATGGGAATCTACTATTGGCCAGGCCCTGAACTCACTCATAGGCTAGTGCTGGAGATGGCTCTGTGAGCAACACACCAGGTGGAGGTCCTTTGGGTGCCCACCCTCCCTCTACTCCTTCTGGGAGACAAGCTCCCTACTGCCCTGAGAGCAGGCAAGGGTGGGGCCTTGGGGACAGCAGGAGGGAGGCGCAGTGGCTCTGTCTGGTCAAAGAGGACAAGGCAGGAAAGATTTCAACAAGGCAGCAGCCTCCAAGAAGTGAATGCAAGCAGCAGAGTGGAGGCCTGGAGGACGCTGGCTCGTCTCTCAAGGAATATGAAGAAGACAGGCTTTTGGACCATGAAGTGACAATGGAAGAACTAGATGAGGCGGAAAAGGTCTGGGAAGGACATTAAAAATAAGAAGCCGATTGAGGGTAGCACATGGAGGAAAAGAGAATTAAGGATCCCCTTACCATTCAGTTGAATGCTTTTTACTTCAGATTGTGTTCTGTCATCAATATCGTCAGCCCTGCTTTCTTTTGTCGTTTCCTGATAATCATGTACCCTGCCTTTCACTTATAACCTCACAGGGACACTTCGTCTCAGGTGGGTTTTCTGTTACTAGCATTTCACCGGCTGTTTGGTTTGGGGAGTTGGGAAGCAAATTGCAAGCTTTGCCTTTTGATACGAACATTCCACCGGGGAAGCAGTACAGCCCAGTGGTTATAACAGGCCTCTGTTGCCAGGCTGCCGGGGCTGGAGGGTATGCTGACAGCCTGCCAATATTTAACAGAGCACTCAATGCACACCTAGTGCTTTATGTCCTGTTCCCAGCCCAAAGATAAGATAGAGCAGAGCATCCCCACTTGACAGGTAAGGAAACTGAGGCCCAGAGCCATGAAGTCAGATGCTTAAGGCCACACAGCAGGATCACTGAATTGGCATGTCAAGAGACCCACGCATTTGGGTTGGCCAATGACCATCTTTAACTCAAGAGCTTCTTGGATTTGGCTGGAAGGGCAGGGAGCCCTCACTCGCTTCTTCTCATGGTCAAGAATGAGACTCAGACATGTTGATGGCAAAGTAATAACAATAGTAGTAATAATACTACCAGCAAACACTTATTCAGAATTCACCATGTGCCTGGCACTATGCCACATGCTCTATGTGTTTCATCTTCTTTACTTTTCTCAGCATAATGATTAAGAGCCAGGATTCTGAAGCCAGACAGCCTGGGTGTGAATCTCAGCTCTGCCACTTACTGGCTGTGTGACCTTAGGCAAGTTACTTTACCTCTCTGGGCCTTAGTTTCCTTATCTATAAAATGGGGTTGGTGATAGCACCTTACAACAGATCCCTAGCACATGGTAAATAGTACATAAATATTACTGTTGCATTTTAAAGAAACCACATATCAGCTTCCTCTCTCCTTGGCTTATGAATGGTGAGTGTATAAAAAAGAAAACTGGTAGGCGGAATGGTTCATATTTTAGAGTTGTGAGCAAAAGGGAAGAAACTTTTTCAATTAAGAACATACCAGAGCTGTTAGCCATGATCTCCATTTACAAATGGAATAACAGGCTCAGAGAGGGTAAGTTCGTTGCCTGAAATCACACACAAGCAGCAGAAGGAGGATTTGAACTCAGGCCTGCCTGACGTCACAGCTCATGTCCTTAATCCCAACGCCAAATGGCCAGCCCTGGTGGTCATGGGAAGAGCTGGTCCCTGGCCCTGCATTGAGAATGGAAATATGAGTCACCGGCCATCCCCAGGGATGGCTGGGGAGTGAGAGGCGCTCAGCTATGGGGCAGAATGTTCCGCTAGATGCTGACGAGCAGCTGCCAGCACCACTCAGTTTTTCATGCTGAGGAAAAGGAGGAGGAGAGCGCAGAGGAGCGGGGGTCACAAGCCAGCGGAGCACAGCCTGAAGCCAGGCCACGACTTGGTGGATAACGTCAGGCTCACACATCTGGCCTCCGGAATGCTGAGGACCCAGAGGACAGGCCTGAGGTTCTGCTGCTCCTTGGGGCAGGCTCTTCCTCTGAAATCACCGAGACTGTTTCATGGAGAAAAGTCTTGGGCTTTCTAGGCTCTCCTGGCCCAACTCAGGCGGTGACGTGTGAAATGGGCATTCTTTGCCCACTGATGAAGACCAGGTCTCCATAGACACACAGGATCAAAAGAAGCAAGGCTCCAGAGTCTGACGGCTCTGGAGTGGATTCCTGGCTGGGCAACACTGGCCAGTACCTTGGTTTCCTCCTCCGTGCACGAGCATCACGGTCTGCAGGGTCTGGAGGAAGGATAACCTGCAGAATGCCCGGCAGCTGCTGGACGTCCAATCAATGCTCCTGACCACCTGCCCAAGTCAGTGAACAAGTGAGTGAACAAGTGAGCAAACTTGCATGGTGTCCAAACAGGCAGCACATAGCAAGTGGTCACCACCTTGCTGGCTGGTGTCCTTAGAGGCATTGTGGCCAACCTTCCTTTTCTGGTTCCAGTTTCCACTTTGCCCCAAGGAGCACCAAGTCTTGTCAGGCCTCTTTCAAGGGCTAGGTTGAAGGTGAAGAGTAAGGAAGAACACAGCCTTCTCCTTTGTGCCCATTGTTAGGGCCTCACCTGACTCATTTTTGATGATTGTGCTGGTTCTACCTGGGAAAGTTCGGGACTGGCCAGTGTGACTTGGTGGGATCGGTGATTCATTTTGTTTCCAAAGGGAACAAAAGCCCAGGTCTTCCCAAGGTCCCCTCTGCTCTGGCTGGCCTCGTCTCTTGGTCAGGGAATGAGTCACCCACCCTTCCTTGGGGCTGCCCCTGTTTTCACTGTGCCTGGGCCTTCAGAAATCAAACAATCAATTCTTCTTTTTTGGGCTCTTGGGGACAGAAAGGTGAGTAGACGAAGGGAGGACTGACAGGAGGAACTAAGCTGCCGTGGGTTCCGTGGCGGCCCCTGAAGGGAATAAATCTCAGGGAAGGGGCATTTGAAGCTGCAGCCACATGGCTCCTCATAACCTCTTTCTCTGCCTGGCTGGAGGGGGGCCCTGCAGCCTCCAGCTCCAAACCCTCTCCCCCAAAGTGGAAAAATAACCCACCCTCCACAATCTGCTGGAATTTTAAAAAGTATCCTGGGCGATATAATTTGCCTGGCTCACTAGTCACTGGCTCCCTGTTTAGATAAACCATATGACCTCCCTTTCCTACAAAACAAAGATTGTCATATTGAGCTGACAACGTTGTCATGGGCCACAAAAAAGATGATGAACGTGAAGCGTGGAGCACGTGCCCCGGTGGGATAAAGCCCCTCCCCGAGTTGCAACAAGGAACCGGGCAGCGGATGGTACGTGAGCTTCTTCTGTGACTCGTGTCTTCGTTCCACGATGGCGCTCTGCCGTTCCACGATGGGGCTCTGCTTATCTGGAGGTCAGACCTCCTGCCAAAGGCTGGGCCCTCGGTTATCTGGAGCTCAGCTGCAGGCCCAGAGTAACAGGACAGGAATTCTGAGTTGGAACTGAGAGTCACAAAGTCCAAGCACGTTTCTTTTATTTATTTTTTTCCTTTTCTTTTTTTCTTTTCAGTTTCTCTTGATTTTATTGTTCTTTAAAAAAAAAAAAAAGTATGATACATCTTTTTTTTTTTTCCCATCAGATACGTTTCTTTAAAGCCTTGGCTGAGATGATCAGGATAAAAGGAGGTAGAAGGAGGATATCCTCAGAGGCCATCATTTCAAACAGTATGACACGGACTGACTCACTTCCCCTTTCTGGGCCACAGGTGTTTTTTTTTTTTATAATCAGTAAAACAGAGATAATAATTCCCACTTCACAGGGCTGTAGGGACTTGGGCATGACCTAGTGATTCCAAGCCTGGCTCCCGGGTTCAGATCCCAGCTGAATGAGACCATCTCATCATGTGGAACCTACTTGCTCAGCTTCTGGTGGGGACGGTCAGGTTGCTGAGAGGATTAAATGAGATCATCGGAAGAGCGTTCACGGCTGGCAGGTGACAGCATTCAGTAACCGAGAGCTGCCGTTATATCCATCCCTGAGTTTAGTTTCCGGCGTATGGCAGGTGTTCAATCCATGCGAGCTACTGGGGGGCGGGGACAGCCGATGCCATTAGCAGAGAAGACAAACAATGGAACCACAGAGCGTTAGCCATCGAAGGGACATCGGACGGAGATCACCATCTTATTTTAGATCGCCCCTTATTTGACCACAGAGGAGGAGGAGGCCCACGGGGGAGAAACACCCAGCCTGAGGTCGCTGCAAGCTCATTTTCCCCTATCAGGGCTCTTGGTGGACCCCAATTCACCCAGAAGTCTGGGGCCAGTTAGAATGAAGACACTCATGGGCCTTGGTTTCTTTCTAGGAATCGCCGTGTGACCGCCCAGGGCAGGAATGAAGGGCTTCAGGGTAGTTGTTTTCATCCAGAAAGAACCGGAGGGAATCAACAGTAGCAGCAGGGAAATGCCGATACCTTTTCAGAAAGCTCTGTCCTGGTGAGTCAAGGAAGGTGACAGCCCTGCTTTGGGAAGCGATCCAGAAGCAGTATGCGTGTGCAGGCGTGTGGCTCAGAGACAGCTATTCTAGACAATAACAATAGCGATGGTTTGGTGAGTGGTGCTTGCGGGCCAGGCCCTTGGCCAAGTGTGTGCATCTCACGGATCTTCTGTGGGCTGAGTATTCTCTTACCCCAGCAAACCGAGGCACAGAGGGGCTAAGAAACTGGTTCAAGAGCCGCCAGCTAGTGCATGGTGGAGGGGACTCCAACCCAGGCCATGTGGCCCA